CTCGACAACCTTTTAAATAGGTATTGTTTTTTGGACATATGTTCAATCGGTATTGTTTTTTGACATATTGTCAATAGGTACTATTTTTTGGACCCGTTTAAAATATGTCTTATGTCTTCGACTATTACCTAACAGCGAAGACTGATAGGCTTCTAGTGGGCTCAAAAGACAGCATCTTGACTCCCCAGGGGGGTCTGGGCGGATGCCGGGGGAATCCGGGGGATCCGGGGGAATCCGGGGGATCTGGGGACTCCCCAGGACTCGTATAGATTCCTATAGATTCCTATAGATTCCTGGGAATAGTTTTCCCAGAACACCATTCCCAGGGCACATTTTGAATGCCCGGAGCCAACTGTAGGCCACTTCGTGTTCTTCGTGTTCCCAGAACACCACTCCCAGGCCACATTTTGAATGCCCGGAGCCCAAATGTAGGCCACTTCGTGTTCTTCGTGTTCCCAGAACACCATTCCTAGGGCACATTTTGAATGCCCGGAGCCAACTGTAGGCCACTTCGTGTTCTTCGTGTTCCCAGAACACAATTCCTGTACCATATTTTGATTGCCCGGAGCCAACTGTAGGCCACTTCATGATCTTCGCGCTCCCAGAACACCAGTCCTGTGCCATATTTTGAATGCCCGAGCTGAGGCAGGCTGAGGCCGAGGCAGGCTGAGGCCGAGGCAGGCTGAGGCTGAGGCTGAGGCACGCCGAGGCAGGCTGAGGCTGAGGCTGAGGCAGGCTGAGGCTGAGGCTGAGGCAGGCTGAGGCTGAGGCAGGCTGAGGCTGAGGCTGAGGCTGAGGCTGAGGCAGGCTGAGGCTGAGGCAGGCTGAGCTGAGGCTGAGGCAGGCTGAGGCTGAGAGGCTGACGCTGACGCTGAGGCTGAGGCTGAGGCTGAGGCTGAGGCTGAGGCAAGCCGAGGCAGGCTGAGGCTGAGGCTGAAGCTGAGGCAGGCTGAGGCTGAGGCTGAGGCTGCGGCTGAGGCTGAGGCAAGCTGAGGCTGATGCAGGCTGCGGCTGAGGCAGGCTGAGGCTGAGGCTGAGGCTGGCTGAGGCTGAGGCTGAGGCCGAGGCAGGCTGAGGCTGAGGCCGAGGCAAGCCGAGGCAGGCTGAGGCTGAGGCTGAGGCTGATACTGAGGCAGGCTGAGGCTGAGGCTGAGGCTGAGGCTGAGGCTGAGGCTGAGGCTGAGGCTGAGGCAGGCTGAGGCTGAGGCAGGCTGAGGCTGAGGCCGACGCAAGCCGAGGCAGGCTGAGGCTGAGGCTGAGGCTGATGCTGAGGCAGGCTGAGGCTGAGGCATGCTGAGGCTGAGGCTGAGGCTGAGGCTGAGGCAGGCTGAGGCTGAGGCTGAGGCTGGCTGAGGCTGAGGCTGAGGCCGAGGCAGGCTGAGGCTGAGGCCGAGGCAAGCAGAGGCAGGCTGAGGCTGAGGCTGGGGCTGATGCTGAGGCAGGCTGAGGCTGAGGCTGAGGCTGAGGCTGAGGCTGAGGCCGAGGCAGGCTCAGGTAGGAATCCTTAGGATTCCCCAGAAATCCTTAGGAATCCCTAGGAATCAGGATTACTAAGGATTCCTAAGGTTTCCTAAGGATTCCTATGGATTCCTAAGGATGTCTAAGGATGCCTTAGGAATCCCTAGGGATCCTTAGGATTCCATTGGATCCTAAGGCCGTTGCCACTGCGACTGTCATTGCGAATGCGACTGCGACTGCGAGAACGGCAGAATTCTACAACTGGATTCTCACCTGAATCGTAAGGGGAATGCTTCCAGATATGCTTTTACTAGAACCATCGCGCGCTTCGCGCGCGCTCAAGTTCTACCCCAGGCCAGGGGGGCGCTGGAAGATCTTATCTTGGACAGCGATATCAAGCACAGGCGCGTGACATAGTCGTGCCTCCCGAGGGCCTCTTGGGTCTTCGGGGGGCATCTGAAGGGCTTCTGGGGGGTTCTCCGTGCTTCCTCAACTTGGTGTTGGAGGCACCTCTTGGGTGCTTCTTGGGGGGGCAACTTGGGGCTTCTTGGGGCCCCTTGTGAGCATCGTCGGGGTTCTCTGTGCAGTCGGAAGGTGATGTTCTGCAATCTGAAGCCGTCATTGTCCGTATTGGCCGCGTGGAGGCCCGACTTGAGGGCGCCTGGTGCGCCGTCTTGGCCGTCTTGGAGCGGTTTTGGGGGCCTCTTGGGCGGTGCTTTAGCGCAGGAACCGCGAAACAGCGAGAATACAAACAACATTTTAACAACAACAAATAGGAATCAACGATTTTGCCCTCTCGGGGCGCTCTTGGGCGGCATCTTAAAGGCCTCTTGGGGCGTCTTGGGGGCCTCCGGGGCAAATTAAAACGCACCGTGCGTCGCTAGAGACCCCTGGACCAGGCTTCCTTGGGTCGATCTTGGGGGCCTCTTGGACTGTTTTCGCGCGTCGGGAACCCGAGAAGGCGAGATGACTAAAATCCTTCGGACATCTACGGAAAACAAGCAATTTTTGGCTCTCAGGGTTCTCTCGGGGGTCCTCGTGGGGCCTTCTTGCGGCGTCTGGGTGGCCTCTTGGAGGCCTCTTGGGGCTTCTTCGGGGCCTCTTGGGGCCTCCCGGGCGCCTCTTGTGGCGGAAAGCTCGAATTGTCAGTTGGATTTCCCAATCTTGGGCTTCTCTTGGGCGCCTTTGGGGGCCCGTTTGGGCCGTCTTGGGCGCCTCTTGGGCCGTCCTGGAGCTCTTTTGGGCCGTCTTGGGGCCCTCGGGGGCGCCTCTTGAGCCGTCTTGATGCGGTCTTGGGGACCTCTAATGTCGTCAAGAACGGTACGACAGCGAAAACAATGAATATGCTAAAAATGTACGTTTTGCAAAGAGAATGGGGCTATTTTTGCCTCTTGGGGACGTCCTGGGAGGCCTCTCGGGGGCTTCTTAGAGCGTCTGCGAGGCCCCTGGAGGTGTCTTGGGGGCCATCTTGGGCATCTTGGAGCGGCCTTTGGGTGTCTTGGGTCCGTCTGGGGGCGTCTTCGGGTTCTCTTGGCGCGTTCCCGGGGCGTTTTGAGGGCCTCGGGGACGCCGCAAGAGCCGACGCCCCCCCACTTGTGGTCGAGACTGCGGCCCCGGGCCCCCCGGGCCCGGTGCGGCGTTATATTGCAGGGGCCCACAAACACACAAATAAATACACACAAATAAAATGATTCCCCATATTTTCTTATATTTTCTGGGTTTTTGTCTTCCCCCCCACTTCCCATATTTTCCCATATTTTCTGGGGAATCGACGATTAATTGTGTCTGTGTGTTTTTCCCCCCTGATATATGTATACTCATCGCTGTTAGGTTGATTTGCCGGGATAATTCTTACGCAAGCCCAAGAAATTGACCATAGTTTCGACATAACACAACAATGTGAATAGGTATTATGTTTTGGACATGTTTTCAATAGGTACGGCTTGTTGGACATAGTTATCGGAGGTACTTTTTTGGGACATCTTAAACCTCAGGGGTTGGCGCATCGCCTGCTCAGCGCCCCGCCTCCTGTTTGAATCGCTTCGCGCCAGGGCGTCGCCACCCCCGCGCCCCCCGCGCCCCCCGCGCCCCCCGCGCTCCGACCTCCCCCCCCCCTCCTCGGGCCACTCGGTGTCTCGGCGAAAAGGCACCCGCGGGGCCGCGCCCCGAAGCCCAGCGCCCCCTGCCCAAGCCCCCCCACCCCTCCCGCGGAGGACTGGGCTCGCGGCCGCACCCCGAGGCCGACGCCGCGCGGAACCGCGCCCCGAGGCCGGCACTCCCTCGCAGAACCGCTCCCCCCCTGGGGCGGCACGCCGCCGCGCCGAACGTCAGCGAGGCCACCAGCCTCTGCAGCTCCACGCGCTCCTCGGCGCTCCGCGGCGCCGACTCCGCAGCCGCGAGGAACGCGGCGCGATCGTCGAGCGCGACCCCGAGACGCGCGCTGCAGCCATCGAGCCGCTACCAGGCGCGGGCCAGGTCTCTCGAGCGAGACACCCAGGTCCGAGGAGGGGGCCGCCAGCCCCGGGCGCCGCCGCCGCGGCTGCCATCGCCGCCGCCGCCGCCGCGTCTGCCGCGAAGGGGGCGGGCGCCGCGCCGACCGCCGCCGTGCCCGCGGGCCTGCCGACGTCGGCCCACGCGTCATCCACGTCGCCGTCGTCGTCGCGAACCTCCGCGGCAGGCACGGGCCGAACGCCCGCGCTTTCCACTCCGACTGCCTGGCCGTCCGCCGCGCACCCCGCCTCCGACAAACGCCGGCGCCGTCGCCGCTCCGCCTTTTCCGCCGCGACGACGGAGGGCGCACCCCGCGGCCTCTCCTTCTCCTCCGGCGCCGGCCTGCCCGCCCCCAGCAGCGGCGGGCGCGGCCAGCGGCGCGCAGCCGCGAAAGCGACAGCGGCCGCAGCCGACCTCGCCGCCGCCGCGAGGGCGCTGGCGGCGGCCGCGAGAGTCCTCTGGCCCCTCGGGCGGCGGACGTCCCACGGACGGCCGCGGTTCCGGGCTGGCGACCACTTTCGCCAAAATATCGCTACCTCTTTCTCATGTTTTCTATATATATATATATATATATATATATATATATATATAAATATATCCCTTGCGCATCATGAGCTGCTGGGGAAGGTTCTGCCGCCGCGACATCCATGCGCGCGGGCTGCTGCGCGGGGGCGAAGCAGACGCCGCGGCTGCCCCAGAGGCTGCGGCACCGCTGACTGCTGCAGCACATCCACCTGGCAAGTCCTCATCTCCAGCACCCCCAGGAACAGCAATAGCACGAGCAAAAACACGACCGGCGAGAAGAGCTTACATGCTGACAACAACAAAGGCACCGAACACCTCGGCAACCTCGCCCATATTGTCCTTCTGCGCCCTGGTGCACCCGTCGATAATGTGCTGCAACTGCTCGACTGGACTGACAGGCTGCGAGCCGGCCATGGCTGCGAAAACGCTTGCTGTTTTGGCGGAGGCCTCGTCGACAGCAGCACGGGCAACCACGAGATCCATCTCGTATGTAGCCGCGTGCGCCGCAGCCCAGACAGCAGACTCTTGAACGCGATCATAAGCCTTTGCGCCTTCGACAACTGGTCAGCTAACTGATCTTACTCGGTGTGCACTGCCTTGGCCGAAGCCCACAGCTCCCCTTTCAAACATCTCTTTGGGCCGCAACACGAGCAACGAGCTTAGCTGGCCGATCCTGCGCAACACTGTTAAAATATTACACAAGCATATTCGCATAGATGGGACCCGATCATCAATGACCTGCACGCTTTGCGTAGTCGGCGTGGGGGGGGCCATGGAGCCACTGCCCGAGCGCACGCGGTGTCGCGGCCTCAGGCTGCCAGCCGCATGGCCGACCACATCGGAAACAACTCTTTTTCCACCCAATAGTGTACTGGTATCCGAACTTTCTGTGGCTGCGCGTCCACACCGAGAAGTTCCCCGCCATGGCTGATACGTACTTCTGTGCAGAAGACTGCGGCCACCCCGCAATACAGTCCACGAAAACCACATGTTCTGACGACTACAATTGGGGACGAATCTCCCCACGCCACTTCTCAAATCCCTGAGCCTCCCGCCACGTACTCGAGCCAAAATGGTTACGGACTCCTCCTCTTCCTCCTCAACCAGCTCCTCATCCTCATCCTCGTCCTCCTCCTCTTCCTCCTCCTCCTCCTCCTTCTCCTCCTCCTCCTCCTCCTCCTTGTCTTTTTCATCACCACCATCATCGTTACAACTTCCACGATCGTCAGTATGATCGCCATCCGCCTCAACATAAACATAATCACCGTGATCATCCCAGCCCTCATCATCACCACAAGCATCACAATATGCATCACATCCGCCGCCGCCTCCCGCGTGGCCGCGAGGTCGCCCGCGGCCGCGAGGTCCTCGGCCGAGCCGCGAGAAGGCTCAGGGGATGTGAGGGATGAAGGGAGCGAGAATGGACGGAACGGACGGAGGGGGAGGGGGAGGGGAGGGGGAGGGAAGGGGAGAGGGAAGGGGAGGGGCAAGCTAGGTGCGGTCGCGTCAGATCTGACGTCCTACCCCTCCCTCCCGTCCCTTACCATGGCGTAGATCTCCTCTCTATTCGCACAGTCCCATGTCGCGCAGGGCAATGATCCCGAGAGGGTGCGCGATGCATCGTGTGGCAGAGCATAGCAGGGCGTAGAAGAGCACGGCAGAGCGTAGTATGTCATAGCATGGCGTGGCGTTGCGTATTGAAAAATTGCATCACAAAGCATTGCTACGCAAATAATGGCATCGCACGGCGGCACAGAACAGAACATTACATAGCATGGCGTTGAAGATCAAAGCGTAGCATGGAATAGCACGGCGTGGCACTGCGTAGTCAAGCACTGCATCCTAGCCCTGCAGCTGAAGACATGGCATCGCACAGCAGAACACCACATAACATTGCATTGCATGCCGTGGAATGGCACTGGGAATAAAGACGCCACCGCTGCAGCGGGAGCACGATTCGGTTCGAGCGGAAGCGCGGAAATGAGGCCAGCGCTGCAGCGGCAGCAAGATTCCGAACGAGCGAAACCCGAAATTGAGGTTAGCGCTCCAGCGGAATCAACAAACTTAAATTAGCCTGGCGAAGGACCCAACCATATGCAGTTGTGGGTATCGCATTCGGGGGAGCCCCGTATGGGGCCACGAAACGCTGTGCTGGGTGTGGCGGACGCATGCGCCCCCCCCACTGGGGCCTTCGGTGGAGCTCCCTATGGGGCCACGAAACGCCGTGCTGGGTGTGGCGGATGCATGCGCCCCCCCTCCTCCGGGACCTTCGGTGGAGCTCCCTATGGGGCCACGAAACGCCGTGCTGGGTGTGGCGGACGCATGCGCCCCCCCCCCACTGGGGCCTTCGGTGGAGCTCCCTATGGGGCCACGAAACGCCGTGCTGGGTGTGGCGGACGCATACGCCCCCCCCCACTGGGGCCTTCGGTGGAGCTCCCTATGGGGCCACGAAGCGCTGTGCTCGGTGTTGCGGACGCATGCGCCCCCCTCCTCCGGGACCTTCGGTGGAGCCCCCTATGGGGCCACGAAACGCCGTGCTGGATGTGGCGGACGCATGCGCCCTCCCCACTGACACCTTCGGTGGAGCTCCCTATGGGGCCACGAAGCGCTGTGCTGGGTGTGGCGGACGCATGCGCCCCCCCCACTGGGACCTTCGGTGGAGCTCCCTATGGGGCCACGAAGCGCTGTGCTGGGTGTGGCGGACGCACGCGCCCCCCCACTGGGGCCTTCGGTGGAGCTCCCTATGGGGCCACGAAGCGCCGTGCTGTGTGTGGCGGACGCATGCGCCCCCCCCCCACTGGGGCCTTCGGTGGGGCTCCCTATGGGGCCACGAAGCGCTGTGCTGGGTGTGGCGGACGCATGCGGACTGTGCCACTGGGACCTTCGGTGGAGCTCCCTATGGGGCTACGAAACGTGTGAGAGGTGTGCCGAGAGCAAAGGCAAGGAGGGGGAGGAGGGAGGAGGGGGAGGAGGGAGGAGGGAGGAGGGAGGAGGGGGAGGAGGGGAAGGAAGGGGGAGAGACGCGGGGCACCGTCTCTTCAAAACGAGGACCCAACACCACAGGATGGTTGGGAAAAAACCTATCGAAAACCTAACTCCCGGAAGTCCTGTGTAAAAAAACGGCGGGGGGCCGAGTATTTTCCAGACGTCATCAGGGGAGAGAAGAGAGTAGTATTCATAGTGTAATTGTGGAGGGGGGGGGAGGAGGGGGGCGGCGGGGCGGGGGGCGGATGTGGAGGGAAGGCGGGGAGTGTGGGGGAGGTTGGGGGCGGCGGGGCAGGGGGCGGATGTGGAGGGAAGGGGGGGAGTGTGGGGAGGATCCCATGTTGTCCACGGTTCTGATTTCACCCGACGGGCCAACGATGTCACGAGGGGGGGGGGAACAATGACCTGGAATCGGCGACACGTCGCCGATATCGGAATCGGCGATGGGCCCCTGGAGGGAAAAGCGCAAGTTCCTGGGCGGGAAAGGGTGGCAGGCCCCGATGGGCAATGAGTGGGCGATTGGGGGTCGACGCCACCCCCGCCCTTGGGGCCAATCCCCCCTCTGTCGCTCCCCCCTCAGGGGAGGCCGCCGACAGGCCCCGGAGCGATCAGGAAGCAACCCTCGGGACGGAAGTCCAGCACCGTGGAAGCGGCCGCGAGGTCGTGGGGCCACCGACTCGGAACAACATCGGGTCCTCCCAGGCCTGGGGGGCAGCACTGAGCTGAGGGATGGAAAAACGCCCCAACCCTGGGTTACAAGTGCATGGTCTGTAAGCCTCCTGGGAGCTCCAAGCGCCAGAGAGCCGCCAGGACGCCGCGCGGCACGCGCGATGCGCAGGGTTTGCCCGGTCAGCCCACAGGAGGTTCGGCGCACAGCCCTCGAAAATCAGGGCAGGGGCGTCTTTTCATTTACGCCCTTGAAAGCCCACCGAGCGGGGGGACGTGAAGATGAAGCAGGGGCAGCGGTGGGGTCAAGGGAAAATCGCTCTGAAGGGCCTTTGAGGGAAAGAAGCGTGAGCATCCAACTAGGTCCGTTCCCTATGACAGGCTCCTGTGGTGACGACCCGGGCGTTAGCTTCTGACGCCGTGTGGATCGCTCAACAAGGAGCGATCGCAATGTTCTGAGAGCGCGGATCGTTCGATGTCGGCGGATTCTGGGCCGCTGGCGGCGTTCAACCCCACCGCGTCGGCACGACACGAGCCTACCGCAATCCCGCCCTGGGATAACCCACCTCTACTCGGCTGCGCGCAAGTGGCCCCAAGCAAGAGTGACCTTTTTAGGCGGCTGTGGGGGGACGCGCGGGGGGGGGGGGTCAAACCGAAGCTCGCTTGCGGCTGCTCTCGCGTAGCCTCGAGCGATCGGGGGACCCCAAATGGGCCTGCACCAGAGGATACTCTGGCGAGGGGTCACTCATACGTCCGACGTCTCCAAAAAACTGAGACGCCGTGAAAAATCGCGCCTGGAACCCTAGACCCTGTCTTCCTGGGTCATTTTTCGAGCCGGATCGATATGAGAGGGCCCCAGGGCCCGAAGTCACGCGAAAACGCCTGGCTCGAAAAAACTGCGTCGCCAGGATCTCCGGGTACGCGCAGCCGACCTACGCACCCTCGGCCCGGTCCAGCCGCCCCCCCAGACCTTCGGCGGCCGTGGCCTCTGCACGGCGTGGGCCGCTGGCGCTCTCGGCGGCCCCGCTATCCCCGCAGAACCAGGACTGCGCCGCCAGCCGCCGCTCTCTGGCGGCCACGCAGGGCCCACGTCGGAGGCCGAGGTCTTGGGCAGGCGCCCGTTTTGAGTTCTCTGCCCACGACGCCCCGAGGCCTGAGGTCTCCCAGATCGACCCTCGGGCCTCTCCTGGAGCCCGTTCTGACCAAGGGGTCGAGACGGATCCAGCCGTGGCGACGGCTGCCGCCCAGGAGGGCCCAGACAAACAACTCCACATGTTTCCTCCTTCTCCCCCTCCCTCTCCCCCTCCTCTTCCTCCTCCTCTTCCTCCTCCTTCTCCTCCTCCTCCTTGTCTTCATCCCTCCTCCGCCATCTGAAACCCCTACCCCTGGAGCCTCCTCAAGCCCCACATGTCCCACTCCTCCTACTCCTGCAACTCCCATCATAATCACCGTCACCGTCACTACCACCACTGCCACCCCCATCGTCATCATCATCATCATCATCATCATCATCATCATCAGCATCATCATCATCATCATCATCATCATCATCATCATCATCATCATCATCATCATCATCATCATCATCATCATCATCATCATCATCATCATCATCATCATCATCATCATCATCATCATCATCATCATCATCATCATCATCATCATCATCATCATCATCATCATCATCATCATCATCATCATCATCATCATCATCATCATCATCATCATCATCATCATCATTATCATCATCAGCATCAGCATCATCATCAGCATCAGCATCAGCATCATCATCATCAGCAGCATTAGCAGCAGCAGAATCATCAGCAGCAGCATCATCATCATTATCATCATCAGCATCATCATCATCATCATCATCATCATCATCAGCATCATCATAATCGACATAATCACCATCACCATCAACATCATCACCACCATTACCATCACCATCAGCAACAGCATCAGCATCAGCATCAGCATCATCACCATCACCCTCGCCACCACCAAAACCATCATCATCATCAACATCATCATCATCAGCAGCATCATCATCATCACCAGCATTAGCATCATCAACATCATCATCACCATCATCATCATCATCATCATCATCATCATCAACAGCATCATCACCATCACCATCAACAACAGCATCAGCATCAGCATCAGCATCATCACCATCACCCTCACCACCACGGTCATCATCATCATCAGCATCATCATCATCATCATAATACTCATCATCATCAGCAGCATCATCATCGTCATCATCATCGTCGTCGACACCATCATCATCATCATCATCACCTTCTTCATATAAATGTTCATCGTCATCTGCACCTTAATCAGCAGCAGAATCATTCACCATCATCATCACCAACATCTTTATCATGGTCATCAATATCGTCATCGTAATCGTTATTGTCGTCATCGCCATCACCAACGTCATGGTTCTTACCACCATCATCGTCACAACCATCATCACAACCACCATCATCATCGTTGTCGGTGTCCTCGTCGCCAGCACCATAGCATAAGATGGTCGTCCTCCTCTCCCTCTTGCTACTCGTGCTCCTCATCATCATCGTCGTCATAATCAGCATCATTAGCAGCAGTAATTTCATCATCATCGTCATCATCAGCATCATTATCACCATAATCGTCCCCAGATCATCCGAACTACCATCAAGACCGACATTACCATCATCATCATCATCATCATCAGCATCATCAACATCATCATCACCACCATCATCGTCATCACCAAGAACAACACAATCACCATAACCATCACCATCACCGTCACCATCCCCACCATCATCATCATCATCATCATCAGCACCGCAATCATTTTCAAGAACATCATCAGCATCATCATCGTCGTCATCAGCACCATCAGTATCATCATGACCATCATCGTCATCACCATCAGCATCACCATCAACACCATCATCATCATCATCATCACCCTCATCACCAGCATCATCATCATCATCAGCATCAACATCATCGTCTTCGTCGTCGTCGCCGCCATCATCCGAATCCATCGTCATCAGCGTGACCAACATCATCAGCTTCGCCATCATTATAGTCACCGTCATCATCACAGTCATTGTCATCACCATCGCGCCAACATGTCCAGAATCGACTATCCACCCGACCGATCCTGGCTGTGCCGTTGCTGGGCTCGGGATCGGTGTATCATTCTCCCTGGCCAGGCCAAGATGACGTGTACACAGATCCTGGGCCCAGGATGGGCCTGGCCAGGATCGGCGCGGTGGATGGTTGACGCCCCTGCCATGGGGGAACAGAAAGGTACCAATGTCACGAATTGCTCCCCGGATCTCGGGGAGCGTTTTGACCAGAAGTTCGAGGAGAATATGGTCGTGTCGACGAGAGCTCCCCGGGACGAGCAGATGCATGGGCATCTCCTCCTCCCCCCCAATGCCATCCATCATTCATCACACGGGACCCTCATCCTCGCCCCGGAGCGCGCGGTGCATGGCTCGCTCGGGTCCGTCTTGTTCAAGACGACCGCGTCGGCCGCCTCGATCTGCTCCACGAGCAGCTCCACCACCTCCGCGGGGGGGTTTGGCCGAGGGGCACAGTTGGCAGCAGCAACATATCGACATGTGGGCAGGGCGAGATGAATAGAACAAGGCAACACACACACACACACACACACACACACACGCTCACACACACACAATCGCCATGTGCCTACACCCGTCGCTGGCACGAGGCCATTTCCACTGAGCTGATGCAGGGACGAGGCGCACGCGAGCGCCTCAGTGCGTTCAGCACGGGGCGTGGCATGCCAGGGACGAGAGGCGGTGAGCGCCCACACTCGAAGAAAGGATAGCGACGATAAGGGTGAATTTGGGCGCCCTTGGAGGTTCTTCAGAGGAGGTGGGTGGGGGGGTAGGTTGTTCTAAGGGGGGCCTTCTGGACCTCCGGAGCTCAGGAACAATCGTTCACCCAACCCTTTCGTTCCAACATCTCTTCCGACGATCGTGAGCGGGGTGGGCACCTTTTGGGTCCGCGGCGGCTGTTTAGGTGCCGTTCAGGACCGCTTCAAGGCCACTTCTTTGCAATCCCCGACTCACACACACACACACACACACACACACACACACTCCCATTGTTGCCCCCCCGCTGCCCAATATTTCCGCTCATAGTCTCGCGGGTGAAAAACATATCCGTATCCGCGGCCTCGCGGGCCGGAGCCCGGGGCCGCGACCCCGCGGATACGGAACGTTTCCCCACAAGTGCCCCGCGCGGAACCTATCCGACCACCTATCCGCGTGATCGCGCCCTGGAATCCAAACCACAAGGGCGTGGAGACGGATATTTTCGCGGCTCGTGACGGGCGGCGATGTCGCTGCTCCATTGCGCCTGGGTGTCGGTAGCCTCGCACGCCCGAAACCTGTCCCCGAGCCCGTCCTGTCCAGAGTCTCGAGGCGAATCCAGCCGTGGCGACCGGGGACGCCCAGGAGGCCTACACAGAACGCAAGAGAAAACGAGACGCCACAACATTCAGCCCTCCTCCACTGAGACGAGGCCCAAACCCAAGTAGAACACGAAACCAAAAACGAACGCCACTCGAAGGCCGAGATAACGCCACATGAGCTTCGGCGGCGAGCCCAGGGGGGACTACAGATGGGGCGGGCCTTCTCAGAAGGCTCGGAAGGCCTCAGAAGCCCCGCCGCTCTCTGAGACGGCCTAGCTAGCCCCTCTCACTTCCCCCCTGGGCTCGCCGCCGGGAGAGGGCTGACTTCCTCTCGGAGCTGGTCGGTACAAGGTCCGCCACGTCGCGGCTATCGACTCGCCTCCTGCCTGCGGCGGGAGGTTTGAGGATCGAGGCTTCTGTTCGTCTAGAGGACGTTTATCATCCATATGAAGACGCAACGACCCGGGAACTATGGTATCCATAGTCTAGAAATGCGAACAGGTCAATGGCGCGGCAAATTACGCTACCGAGGAACCCCACATATTCATATGCTGTCTGGAGCGATGATTTTGGCGAAAGCGATGTTGGTGGCCGTTGCCCCGCCGATACCGTTGGTGACGCCGGTCAAACCTTGGGAGCCTGAGTTCCCTGAGGGCGTCGAGAAACTGCCTCCTCTGCCACACCTTCCGAGCCTGGACCGTATAGAAACCTAGCTCAGAAACGCGTCGAGAAACTGCCACCCCTGCCACATGTTTCCTAGCCTGGACCGTATAGAGACTGCGCTCAGGGACCACCCACTGCGCACTCCCTCTGGTGTCGAGAAAATGCCCCCACTGCCACACTTTCCGAGCCTGGACCGTATAGAGGCCGCGCTCAGAGACCACCCCTTTCGCACCACCTTCGGTGTCGAGAAAGTGCCACGCCTGCCTCACTTTCCGAGCCTGGGCCGTACAGAGACCGCGCACAGAGACCTCCCCCTGCGCACCCCCTGTGGTGTCGAGAAAGTGCCACGCCTGCCACACCTTGCGACTCTGAGACGGATAGAGACCACGGTGAGGGACTACCCGTTGCGCACCCCCTATGGTGTCGAGAAAGTGCCACGCCTGCTACGACTTGCGACCCTGAGACGGATAGAGAACACGGTGAGGGACCACCCCTTGCGCACCCTCTATGGTGTCGAGGAAGTGCCACGCCTGCCACACCTTGCGACCCTGGGATGGATAGAGAACACGGACCACCCCCTGCGCACCTCCTTTGGTGTCGAGAAAGTGTCACGCCTGCCACGCCTTGCGACCCTGAGACTGACAGAGACCACGGTGAGGGACCACCCCCTGCGCACCCTCTACGGTGTCGAGAAAGTGCCACGAATGCCACGCCTTGCGACCCTGATACTGATAGAGACCACGGTGATGGACCACCCCCTGCGCACCCTCTACGCTGTCGAGAAAGTGCCACGCATGCCACGCCTTGCGACCCTGAGACAGATTGGGACCACGGTGAGGCACCACACGTTGCGCACCCCCTATGGTGTCGAGAAAGTGCTGCCACCCCTTGCGACCCTGAGACGGATAGAGAACACGGTGAGGGACCACCCCTTGCGCCCCCTCTGGTGTCGAGAAAATGCCACGCCTGCCACGCCTTGCGACCCTGAGACGGGTAGAGACCACGGTCAGGGACTAACCCCTGCGCACCCTTAATGGTGTGCCACGCCTGCCACGCCTTGCGACCCTGAGACGGATAGAGATCACAGTGGGACCACCCGCTGCGCACCACCTATGGTGCCACGCCTTGCGACCCTGAGACGGGTAGAGTCCACGGTGAGGGACCACCCCCTGCGCACCCTCTACGGTGTCGAGAAAGTGCCACGCATGCCACACATCCCAAGCATGAGACGGATAGAGACCACGGTGATGGACCACCCCCTGCGCACCTCCTGCGGTGTCGAGAAAGTGTCACGCCTGCCACGCCTTGTGACCCTGAGACGGATAGAGACCACGATGAGGGACCACCCGTTGTGCACCCCCTATGGTGTCGAGAAAGTGTCACGCCTGCTCCGCCTTGCGACCCTGAGACGGATAGAGAACACGGTGAGGGACCACCCCTCTGCGCACCCCCTATGGTGTCGAGGAAAAGCCACGCCTGCCACACCTTGCGACCCTGGGATGGATAGAGAACACGGACTCCCCCCTGCGCACCCCCTATGGTGTCGAGAAAGTGTCACGCCTGCCACGCCTTGCGACCCTGAGACGGACAGAGACCACGGTGAGGGACCACCCCCTGCGCACCCCCTGTGGTGTCGAAGAAGTGCCACGCTTGCCACGGCGGCTTTGTAAGTGAGAGCGAGACGGAGAAGCAAAAAGGTGGGGAGGAGGAGGAGGAGGAGGAGGAGGAGGAGGAGGAGGAGAAGAGAGAAGAAACGCGGGTGCGACGCGGCAAGGCAGAAAAAACAGAACCCCACGAAACATGTGGGGAACAACATCATCGAAGTACGGAAGTAAACCAGAGCGTGAAAAGGGTATTATGTAGTCGCGCACCCGCGCGTGCTTGGACCAGTACGATTGGACGGTACCCGCACAGAAGACCCTCGCGAGCAGAAGCATACACCAACAAAGATAAGCGAAGGAGGAGCGGGACGACAGGGGACACAGTTTTACTTGCAGTTTGCGCCTCCACTGCTTAAGAGCATGGACTGAGTGGACTGAGGGATCGAGCGCAATGGACGTCTAGAGGCCTCCGAAGGCCTTCTAAAGACGAGGAGGACGAAAGGGGGGCATGAGGAGTCGCGCCTTCAGGCCCGCCAGCTCCAGCTCGTTGCCGCCGACGTCCACCAGGTCGGGCCTCTCCAGCATTACCTCTGGGAAGAGGATGCGGATCTGAGAGCACAAACACTGCACGAATTGCGCGCCGGTCGGACGACCCCCATCAGCGTGTCCCTGCTGAGGCAGTAGAGTCAAGTTGGCGCACAAGAGACAGAGCGGCAGCACGCGCTGCCTGAAAGAAGGCGCGCGTGTTGCCGAGACTCCCTGCCCCTGCCGCCGCGAGGACGGGCTCAAGCCTCCAGCGCCTCGGAAAAGGGGCTCCCTGGGGGAAGGCTCCGGCACGAAGCATAAACGGGGCCTAGACCTGGGGAGGAGGAGGAGGAGGAGGAGGCGGAGGAGGAGGAGGTGGAGGAGGAGACGGATGAGGAGGAGGAGACGGAGGAGGAGGATGGAGGAGGAGGAGGGGAGGCGGGAGAGGAAGAGAGGATGAGGGGGAGGAGGGAGGAGGGAGCGGCGGGGAGGACTAGGAGGAGGAGGAGAAGGAGGAGGAAGAGGACGTCCGTAGCCATTTTGGCTCAAGTCCGGAGCCGCTTTGGCACAGGACCTGACCTCACTGGCAAGGGGGAGCAGCGGCCCCCACAGTGCCCCTCGTGTGCCTGGTCAGACGAGGTTTTTTACGTTTTTGTGTGAGCTCCTGTTGGAGCAAGTCTCTTAGTTCTCTTTCGAGTGGCAGTGCGATGTCGAATGGGGCTGCTTCGAAGGATGTTCTCCTCGGACCTCGAAAGCCACTGTGGAGTTGCACGAAGTGCCACCGCAAAGGGAACTGGGCGTCTCAGATCAAGTGTGCATGCGGCTGCCCTGCGCCCGTTGAGGTATCGAGAGCAGCTAAGAAAGCACATGAGAAGGCTGTCGCAGGTGGCTCGAAGCAGCAGTTGCCGAAAGGTAAATGGTCTCAGGGTGCTCCGCAGTTGCAGGAGGCGCTGGGCTCCATCCTCAAGCGGCTCGACTCGATCGAGAAGGGCGGCAAACCTGCTGAATCCAAGCCTCCTCCGTGGCGTAGTGATGCTGAGGACGGCAAAGAAGCCAAGGACATCAAGGAGAGGCTGGGCCACTGGCAAAAAAACTGCACGCTTTGCGACTCACGAGGAAGACCGTGTTCTGGCCGAGGCTCAAGTCGATCGGCTTCAGAAGGCGCTTCAAGAAGCCAAGCCATTGCATGTCCAGCAGATGTCCGTCAATACTCGCCTTGCTAGGGCGAAGGAGACTGTTGCCACGCTCGAGACGAACTTGGTGGAGAAGCGCCAGGAAGTCGAGAAGGCTAAGGAGGACCTGGACAAGCAGCTGGAGGATGCGCAGATGGCCTTGGACGAGGCCAGGAGGCAAGCAGAGGTTCTCCAGCAAGAAGCTCGCGAAGCATACGCGAGGGGCCTCGCGCAGGGCGGCGAGCAGATCCTCAAGATGGGGGAGCCGCAGTTTGCCTCCGCCAGCCAGGAGTTCAAGGACTGGTTCAGCAGTCTCCGCGCAGACGAAGCTGGAGGCAAACACTTGGACACGCTGCGGCAGCTGCTCGAGGCCCAGGCCGTGTTCATCAAGACGTCCCAGAGCCAGGCTTGGGTCGCAGCTGGCGGTGGTGAGCATGTTCGTGCTGGGGCTGATGATGATGACATGGAGCTCGATGACCAAGCCGAGATCGACCTTGCTGCTGCAGGCGAGGCTCTCATTGAAGCCAAACGGGCTGCGGAAGGTGATGCCAGCAATGAAGAAGCAGCGCGTCAGATTGCAACGGCAAAGCGAGTGCTGCGTGAACAGCTTGCCTCTATCCGCAAGAAGCGGGCTCGTGTTTAATAATTTTGGGGCTGGTCCAGTCAGTACGGTGCATGGCTGCAACGGTGATTTCTGGCAGGACAATGTGATTGATGTGGACTGGCCTGATCTGGGATTTGCGGTGCCTGCGGTACAGCACCATCGTGTTTTCCAAGACATCAGGGAGGCCCCAGAGTATGGTTGGAGGAGGTTGTCTACCCCTGCAACAACTGCAGCGTTGTCATCGGCAACGGCTACCAGCTCTGGTTTGAGTACGGCCGCTGCAGCGCGGACGACATCCGCTGCTATCTCGTACCCACGTTGCGCTCGACAAGGTGATCGATCCAATTGGTTTCAGGACGATAGTGGCCATGCTGACCACGCCCGCGCATCTACTCTGGGGGAAGCAGGTTGTCTCCCAGGCAGTCAGGAGCTGGAGGTCCCGCCTCGTGAGGATGATGTTCCACGGCGTGAGGACCAGGCACCTGATGGAGTGCGGCATGCTGCTGGTGCGGCTCAGCAGCAGGAAGGTGAGCCTTGTGTACAGGCTCCTGGCTCCGCCCCCGCTGCTGCTCCTGATCGTAGGACTCCTAGGGGTGGGGAAGCCAAAGGAAAACGAAATGAGTGGGTATTCTTTTCCTGTAGTGCTAATACCTGGTCTTCCTGGGAGCTGATCCTGGAGTGGAGGATGGAGGAGGTCCAAGGTCCAAAGCCTCAGTTTTGGGCGGCGCAAGAGACGAGGGTTTCAGAGCTGCAAATGGTAAATTAATACTCTGGGCCCCATACGTGCAAGAGGTCTCAATGCCGATTGTTGCCCAGCAGTCTGCACAGGTGCGTCAGTTTTGTCTACTTCGGCAGGTGTTTTGGCTGGAGGCCTCTCCTACATCTGCCAGCGCACGTTGCAGCTGGATGAGGTCTATGCCGTGCCTGAGACGGTGGGCAGGATCATTGCTAGACATGTCGATGGGGTCCTGTCAGGTGGGAGTATCTGGATGTCTGTGTATTTTTATCAATCGCAGGGGGTCCAGGGTGGCAGCCTACCCTTGATGGCGGCTCTGGGTAAGTACCTCAGTTCTCTGGCTCTACCTTGGGTGATTGGCTGCGATGCCAACATGAATCCTGGGACGTCTGGGCTGGATGAATGGTGTCACAGGCTTGGGCCTACAGTGATCTCTCCTGGGACGAAGACTTGTGCTGCGGGATCTGGGCAGGAATATGATTATTTTATTGTGTCTGCTGGTCTGCCCTCCTGTGTAGACTCCATGAAGGTATGGAGTGAGGCGCCCTGCTCGCCGCACTCCCCAGTTGAACTTACTCTACGCGGAGTAGGCCTTGCGATACCAGTACATGTCAGAGTAAAGTGGAAGGAGTTCCCAACAAAGCCTCAGACGGGATGTCTCCGTGAGCCTCTTCAGTTGCCTTGGGCCTGGAACGTTGGGGACACGGGGGGCCTGGACCTGGAAGTCGTTTGGGGCCAATGGGTTCAGAATGTTGAAAGGGAACTGCGCCATATCTTTGACATCACGGGGGAGGAGATGGAGGAGTACACTGGAAGGGCCAATGGTTTCAGGAGGAAGCAGGTTTCCCTGGATACTGTCTTGAAAGGTAAGTGGTTTGCTCATAGTACTCCTCGCCGTCGTGCCTGGCGAGCTCTTGATGCACTTCTTGTCAAGGCCGCAGCATGTGCAGAGAACCTGGAGGGATCTGCTATGTGGTCTTCGTTGCGTGCGTCCATCATGGGCCTGAGCTTGGACAAGCTTGGCGCCAAGTTCCTATGCCTGGCCCCTAGCCTTCCTGAACTGATTCGCAGGATCGAGGACTCTGGGTGCATAGAGATCGGCTACCTGGGGCCTGCTTGTAAGACGACCAATGAGAAGTTGCTCAGAGATCACAAGGCAAAGAGATGGTCGGATTGGAAGGCTTGGGCCCAGGATGCTGTGTCTGCTAAGGCTGGCAAGGCCGCGCATGCGTACTCTAAGGTAAATGCGCCTGCACAGGGGCCGCGTGCTGCTGAGGGATGGGCCCTCCAAGGGGACAATGCGATTGCCGCACTGCAGACGGAATGGAGCAAGCATTGGCTCTCTCATGATTGTCCTCTCTCGCCAGCACAGCACGCAGAGGCAGATGCAGAGCCTCCTCTTGTGAAGCCTGACAGGGAGCAAGTGCGTTGGGCCATTAGCAAGTTCAAGCGCGAGACGGGTCTGGGGGTCGACTGTATGAATCCGCGAAGTTGGCTTTTACTTCCTGGGGAATACGCTGACAGATTGATTGATCTGCTTCTGGTTTGGGAGAGGTGCCCCAAGTTGCCCGATAAGTATGCCACCCTCATCGTCTTCCAGGGTAAACCTGGCGGTGCTGGATTGCGCCCTCTGGCCCTTATCGTTTCGGTTCTCAGAGTCTGGGCTAGAGTGCGTCAGCAAGTGGTCAGATCTTGGGAGCGCGAGCACACTGCGCAGTTCTTCTGGGGTGAGAGGGACAAGGAATGCGACAGGGCGGGGTGGAATCATGCGATGATGCGTGAGTTCGCATGGATAAAACGGTTCCACACTGGTACCCTATTTACTGACTTGGACAAGTTCTATGAGAGAGTTGCCCCGTCTATCCTTTTTGAGGAAGCTAAAGCCACTGGTCTCAGCCTCCGCCTCACGCGTGCTGCTATCCAGTTGTACGTCGGGGCCGGAGCCCTCACTTTCCAGGGGGACATCTCTGGCATTGTGCACGCGACGGGCACGATTTTGGCAGGATGCAGCTTGGCCACATCTTTTGCTCGTGTGGTGCTGTATAGGCTCCTCTCTGCTGTCACGGCGGCCTACCCCTCCCTCATGATCAGGAATGTGATCGATGATGTATCCATGCAGTCCATTGGTACGGTGAGGTTCGTGGGGGAGCAGTTGGGAGGAGCTGGGGTGATGCTTAAGGAAGGGTTCGAGAAACTTAAGCTTGTCCTCTCGGGGAAAAAGACCAAGTACATATCATCGTGTGAGGAATTAGATGTTGTGCTCAATGGTATGTGGGGTCAGTACGGGTTCAAGTCACAACTTGCTGTCCGTTCGCTGGGGTGTGACGCAGAGGCGAGACGCCTACGGCGAAACCCTACTGCGCGTGCTAGGCTTGTGAAGGCGTCTAAGCGGTCCAGAAGATTGTTGAGGCTGAAGAATGCAGGAGCATTTGTGGGCAACCTTCAGCGTGCTGGACCCCAAGCTGCAGAACTCTGGGGATCTGCGGTGGCAGGGTTGCGCCCCAAGCAGTTGCATGCCATGAGGCTTGCAACAGCCCGCAGCCTTACCAAG